TACTTTGGATCCGTTTAAATACGAGGTTAGCTGTGACATTCTACAACTAATTTATGAACTGAACAGTTTTAGGCAAGCCTCAAACAATGCAATCAAAAAGAAATCCAGTAATTCTGTTTCGAATAAACTTGTTTTCCCTGAAATACTTGATTTCTCAAGAGTCATTAAAACTTTCTCTTGCAGTTAACTTTACATAAGACCTTATTGCATTCATACCTACGAATAATATCAGCATACTGTATTAGTATACTAACATTCATGCACACTCACCAATTCCAATTTGGAAATTTTATATTAAACAGGTCACTTTCATTCTCATGAGAGAAGGTACTTCCAAGCTATTGGGATTAACTGTTGTTCTCCACGTAATAGTAACTTAATTTTTTTTTTTTTTTTGAGCTCCTTTGCATAAACAAGTGGCTGCAAGAATGAAAGTCTCCAACTAAGAAAATGGCAAATTAAGAGCCCCCTCAAAGAAACTTTGGCTGCGATTTTGAGGAAATACACCAGAAAGAGGACAGCTTGAGTAGCATAAAACTACAGCTAAATTAGAAGCTGGTGAAGGCTGATGCTTTGAAACACACATTGCACTTTTCCAGCCAAACTCAATTCATATGAATATGTCTTTAACTGCTTAGATTAGGACAAGCTACATATTTCACATCATCAACTTCAAAAAGGACAAAGGCCTCCTGTTGTGTTTGTATTTATTTTCCTGTTTGTTACTGCTGTTTAAGTACACATTTATTTTTAAGAAATTATATAGGGAGTTAACACATGATAAAACACAGGAAAAAAAAAATTAGTAACAAAAATGAGCACTGGAACTTTCAGCCCAGAGAAGCAGTAAAGACTCCTTCGAGATCTCACCAAACTGCCTGGACACAGTAGAACCTGCTGGGGTAAGGGATTGGACAAGATGACTGCTGCAGTCTCTAGAGGGCCTTGCCAGCCTCAGCTATTCTGGGAAAGTTTTAGAACTAACAAATATCTAGTTCAAGTAGATGAATGATATTTGTAGTTCTTCCTTCATTCTAGACCCAACCAAATATTTCTGATTTCATTCAGATTTTGCAATTTGTGTTTTAGATTTCATCATGTGATTCTAGAAAGATTTGGGGTCAAGATTTAAGTGTCGTGAGATAGCACATTCTCTTACATGTTGTCTGCTGTTAAGATTCTGCTATGAGAGTTTCATTATTTTAAAATAAATGAAATTCTTCAAGGTATTTTACAATAAAGAGTCAGACTTTATTGTTGCCCACTTCATTCAGTCATAGGCATCTTAGGATAGAAGATGGAATTTGAATTGATTATCCAGAAGGCAACCTTCTTGCAATCCTCTGACTACCAGGACTGGAAAAAAAACATTTAGGAACACGTATGGAGAGTAGATGGCAATATATCTATTGGCATTATAATTCACAAATAATGTGACTCACAAGAGGTTAATTCACAAATATTTGTCATACTACACAAACATACATCTAACCTACCTCTCACGTTACCTTTAGAGACTGCATTAATTTGATGTTTGTCAGTTCGCTTTGTTATCACACTGTCACATAACAACAGGAAAAACATTTAAAAAGAAATTTCAGTCAGTCAAGTGTAGCTATTTTAAACTACCTTTATTTTTTTCTTCAAGTCCAAATTGTATCTATAGCCAATCACCTCCAAATCTGAAGATGCTTCAAGATGCTTCTCATACATGAATTGTCACCTACAAGAAGATTTTCTCCTAACAGCACCCCATAGCATAAAATTGCCTGAAACTTTTTTCTCTTTAGTCTTCCTTCATCCTTATACATGACAGCATCTGTTTCAGAGCAAATAAACTACATTCTTTTCCCTGTCATGATTTTCTTTTATTACTTGTCTTTGTTAACTCCCTTTTAGGGGCTGATGGCAGGAGAGGAACAAAACAGCACCAGGTCAGACTGGACCTTAGGAAATATTTCTGTACCACGAGGGTGATCAAACATTTGAAGATGCTTCCTAAAAAGCAGTTGATGCCTCATGCCTGTCAGTGTTGAGGAGGCTCTGAAGCACTCAGGAGTTGGGCAAGGTGATCTTTGTAGGTCCTTTCCAATTGAATTATGCTGATCTATTGTAATATACATCATGTTTCTCTTTAGTTAATACCAACTATATGTCTTGCAGGTGTATTCTTTTTCACCTTCTTCAGAAAGATTATGGTACCATCAACTTTAAGAATTAAATCATTCAGGCATGCAAGGCTGTTTTTACAGTTGCTCAAACCAGAACTTTTAGCTTCAGCACACTGACAGGACTAAACATCCTTCTAGCTCCTCTATTTCATTAAACTTCATTTAATAATATCAAAATAAAAGTGTTTGTTTTTTATCATTGAAAAAAAAAAAAAAAAAAACCACATCTGCTAAGACCTGCCTATTTTTCAGCATTCTTCAGAGTTTAGAATGTAACTCAGTTATGTAATTGTTCAGCACAGAAAGAAGGAAAATTGATTCTGACATGTTCTTGATGATACCAAGCCAAGTATTCAGAGACAGGCCAACAGTCACATACAAAAAGAAGAATTGTGCTCATCCAACCAGTGAAGGGACTCTTTAGCTATACAACAACTCATTTGCAAGAAGCAGCCCAGGTCAAAGAGACTTCCTCTCTTCAGCAGGTGGGACTTATATGAACCCAGGATGATCCAGCCCTTCTGGTCACACAAAGATCACAGGTGCAAATTATTTGCCTGTACTCCATAGGCCCAGCCACAGCCCTTCACCAGGTGCTCAATCACCAGTCCAAGTCCTGACCTAACAGCTCCCCTATATATTGAAGGCTTTTTTCCTCTCTTGTCATGCTGAAATATTTGATCCACAGTTAATCGTGCAATTTGATGTAAGGGTTTTTAAAAAGATTTCTGAAATGATTTTGAAAATCTGAAGTGTCTAATTACAGTTCCTTGTTACTCAGAACAGCAGAGCTGCTGAGAATGTAAGTTTCACAGTTTCAAATACCCATGCATTTCCAATGCTTGCTTTTATACTAAGGAGAAAAATCAGTCTTTTTTTGAGCTAGCTATAAAATCATTTGCTTACCTTTGTGAGTGTTCAGGAACCTCACTGAGAATGCTGGGAAATGTACCTTGAGCCATTTTTAGCACTTGTACAGGAGAAGAAATAGGAATTGCATGAGCAGTCATTGCTCCTTTTATAATGGCTCGGTGCTTAAAAGTGTAACATTATATTTCTTTTTATATAGCTTTTCAAAGCAAAAATAGGATATAGCATTAGAAAAAATTGTGTTCCGCGTGATCCTCAGAAACCATGAAAACAATAATGCTCTTCTCCCCCAAACACCCTCTCAATCTTCCTGTATGTAGGTTTTCTTTTTTTTGGTTTTGTTCTGTTTTTACCCTGCTGTAGGCTTGGTTATTTTCTACATCACTGGCACACCAAACCTTAAGCAAAACAATAAAAAACCCCTAATCAATGTTTTTCTGCTTTTCCAAAAGTTATCACATTTTCACAGTGCCTGTTTACACTGCAAAAACCACATCTATGCGTGTACTTAAGAATATATCTTTTCAGTATTACTTATAAGCATGAATTCATTACAGGTCTTCCATCACCACATGTAAGGATAAAATTTGTGTTTCTGTTTACTCATGGAGCAGAGCTGATTTAGACCTGCAGGGAAACACCAGTATCCTGAAGAACTCATAAGTCACTGAAAAGAGCAAAGGTCAGTGGTGTACAAAGTCAAATATATGAACTCACTGTTCCCCCTCCTCTCTTACTCTTCCACAGCTGCTGCAAATCTGAAACAGCATAGCTATGAACAAGAGAAAGAGCAAGGAAGCAAGCTAAATGAGAGCAGGTTTTCTGATGGGCTAAGAAACCATGCCATGTGGAAAACCCATGTGTAGTGGAAATGCTAAGTCACAGCCTGAACCAGTGGTTGAACACCTGGTGGGAATGCAGGGCCAGCCCAGGGGACCTCAGCTGCATGCAATGGAGTGGAGCCAGGATCCACCCCTTCCCAGACTTGATTTAAGGGTTGGTAGTGGAGGTGAGGGCATCTCTTGTTGGAGATCCCTGCCTACCTGTAGCCTTCTAAAGGTAAGCAGCTCTTTTCCTTCATTTCTGTATCTATGGTTGCTGCTCTTGGGCTTGTTCTCATTTGCTGTAGCCAAAGGCTTTGCTACCCTGATATTATTGTGGTACTTTCCATCCTCTTATAGCATTACACCAGGGTCTACAGATGCATGTCAGTTAAAAAGTGAAAAGAGAGATCAAGACAGGGACAGACAGCAGGTTCTCAATCAAATCTTTCCCCATGCAGCTCCTGTAGACTAGGCTTGGAGTAGTAGCTTTACCCTGTGGCTCCTACACTGCATTTGAAGTTCTTTTCACTGTTTTGGGTGATAGGCATGGAAGAAGTTCCTTAGCATATTACAGCATGCTTTCAAGATACAAATTTAATTTAAACTGAGGCATTTCCTACAAATAGCATTTGTTTCTACACCCCATTTAAAATTCTCATGCAACACTAGTGAAGATAATCAACACAAACTATATTCAGAGTCTTCTTTTAGACCATGGTGATGTAGAGTTATGGTAAGTATGGATTTCTAAAGCTACCTGAGAAAGCAAAATAAACTGTACTACACTGCTGGATGATTTATGAACCCAATATATATATATATGAAGTGACGTGAAACATAAAATTGCTGACAGGCCTGGCTCCTCTGACCTATCTTCTGTAGAGCCCTGACCCCAACATGGCTGGAGAGGGTGAGTAGCAAGGGAAAAATGCTCAGATGGAAAAATCCTGCCATTCCATAGTTGGAAGGAATAAAGTTTTAGGGGAAAAAAGAATTCTCTACAGTATAAAGCCACTATTTTTTTCCCTAACCTTTCGTTGCTTTAACAGAAAGTGATCAGTAATATTTTAGTATAGAGAGTATGTAATACATTTTGTATAGATACACATGACTTGTATGTGAAAAAAGGTTGTTACCTGTAAAGGTGTTTTCTCCATGGGCAGCTGCAATCATGACAAACTGGAGTAGGCTGACACTGCAACCAGAAAGTGTGTGCAGAAGGAAGCTAGATAAACAGGGATGTCTCTCAGTGAATTCTGCTTTTTTGATAAAAGGACAACTTGTGTGAATGCTGAGTTCAGCTTGCTTACCTTGTTGCAAAGATGTACTGTATGAAGTAGACAAAATATGGCACTCATTTCAAAACTGAATTTGAAGATGTGAAGTCACTGTGAAACCTAGAACAGATTTTAAGAAGCTACAAATGCTTTGCTCACTTCCCACCTGGTGAAACCCAGAAACACTTTTACTACAAACCTACAGAATCTATGGCTCACTTAAGGTTTATGACTTTGACACTAATTCCTATAAATTTGCATTAAAAACAAAAAAGAAATGCTGACGTGTCCCTTTGCTATCTGGGCAGAGAACTAACCTGGAAAATTGTGAGCTTGCTTCTTGGGAAACATGCTTAAAGGAAACTTCTCATAATCAACATCATATAAGTATCCACCACCTTACAGATTCACTGAAGCCTGAACCTAGGAGAAGACAAACAAAAACAACAAAAAAAAAATAAGATAAGTATCTTGTCAACTTAAACAAAACAGATAAAGTCCATCACAAGCAGATCTTTTTAAACATTTCAGAAGCCTTTGATGCACTAAAATGGCAAGATATGAGGATACAGACATGAGCTCTACTCACTACATTTTTGTCTTTTCTGTGAGCGAGATGAAGACTAGAATTATGCATCATCTGTTCCTGGTCTTAGTCATAAAAAACTGAAGTGCTTTACTTCTATTATGATGAGAATATAAATGTACATATACATTATACATATTAGACAGTAGAAAAAAATGACTTGACCTGCTAAGAATATATTAGAGAATGCAAGGATGGGTTTTCTGATTGTTTGTTTTTCTTAGGTTGTTTTCCCCCCCGTATAATAGACGCAGAAAGTGTAATCATTCAACGTAGTAAGATTAGGTTAATCCTGTCCTTTCCTACCCTTACTTCCTGTGCATATAAAAACGTTCACTGAGCACCTGAAATTCCTTCAGTTTTTCAGAACTCAAAGAAAAAATACAGCTAGGACTTGCTGTAAAAATTTCCTGTCTTCTAGCAAATGGGAGGAATGGCTGGAAAGTTTTTGACTGACTGAAAGTGAAAAGAAAATGATTCTAGACCATTGGCTGCAGTGGTTGCTTACCTTCAGGAGAAGGTTCACCTATAATGACTGAAGTTTACATTACGAGTGTCATTAGACCAGTAAGTAGTTCATCATGCTCAGCTTCAAGCTGCTGTTGTGAAATATTTCTTTGCACCAGACACTGCATATATACATGACATATGCACTGCAGCTATCCCTTCCCATCCGTATACATTTTCAATTACTTGAAAAGTAATTGAAATTTACTTATGTCTACTTGAGCTTGTGTTTACTATTTAGACAATTATTACAACCAATTTTGATAGTTTCTTACTCAAGAAGATACTTGAGTCTGTGTATTTTTCTGACAGTTTTTGGTTTGGTGAGTATATGCCTTGACAAAAGTGCTATGTTGCTGTTGCAAAGAACACTTCCCCTCTGTCCCCCCCAGGTTAATATATTAGCACATATTTTGGTGTAAGAAACTAAGTATCCTGGAATTCTTAATCATTATTTTTAAGAAAACTTCTTTAATAAACCAGTAATTACTTGAATTACATTTGTTGCATAAGCACAGTCCGTAAAAATTAACAGCCATTGCATTTGACTGAACTGATCCTCATTTTTATGCCTGGAATGAGAATGTGTACTCTCACATCACAGGCAGAAAAACACGGATACATGGAAATTTTATCTCAATACCAGGTAATATTTGGGTGTAGCTTTAATACTTGTCCCACAAGCTATTTCTGTTTCTACTCTGTTTCCTCGGTTGCATACATTTTTTTCCAATGAAAGCTATTACATTATCCTCAGTGGTGACTTTCCCACACATCTATCCTTCATCCTTCACACTTGATTCTCCTTCCTCAGAAGGAGAAACATCACTTGTTTCATGAAAAACATCACTTGTTCTTGTCTAAAGCTAGATTTAAAAAATTACTATTTCGTTCTCCTGGAAGATCTGTTCTATCACTCATATTTTAAAACATATTATTAATATATGTAAAAAGAAATAAATATTGGTTGTACTAATAAAGAACACAATGCTTGAAAAAGCAAACTGCTTGATTTAAAAACTGTCAAAACTGTTAATGGACAATTGCTTAAGAATTACATGTTTACTAGTAGCATAGCTAGTTACAGTGAGCAGATTTGTTCTCTTTTAGGAATGAGGCACTACAGATTATCCTGTGGTTGGGATTCTTTTTCCTGGTTTTACTTAGAAAAGACGTATTTATCTAACAGGCCTGATTTTCCTATTGCCATTTCACAAGATCTGCCATAATTATATAATTTAAGCAGTTTGAGAAATTCCAGCCAACCAAGGCATACTGATCACCTAACTCCTGCACATATCACAATGTTGTATCAGAATGTTTTGTATCATTACAGTTTAGGTCAGTTACGAATTTTCATTACAGTGAAATAAACTCCAAGCTGTGAGTTTGATGCATGTTAGACAGTAAAAGTGTAACAGCAGTTCAGCAAGGGACATTAAAAACATTAATGAACAAACATAACGGTCTGAAAATGAAACTTTTAAAAATGCAGAACAGTTCTCCATAATAGTAAAACTAGGAAGCCAGAACAGTTTAAAATAAAAGTTTTCCCAAAAGGCAGGGAATGCAACTGGAAGTGGAAATTCTTCTATTAGATAGTTAATTTGGAGCATAAGTAACACTAAAGAGATGCTAACAAGAGCATGTAGTTAACAGAAGACAAAGCTATGAATAAATCTCAAAATAAACGTTCAATTCTATTCTACGGATTATGAATTAAACAACTGTAGCTGAATATAAGAGAGCTGCTAAGTTGTTCCGGAGCTTCTCATAGCAGAAACAATTTTGCAAGCTGAATTACAGCTTCAGCCAAAAAAAAAAAAAAAGCCACAGTGGTTTTGTTGCTTTTGTCCCCAGCACTCCCTTCAATATCGGCCTGCAAGTTTCTTTGATGTCCAGACACAGAAGAATTAAATGTGACTGTCATTCTGTCCGTGGTCTGAGGCCATATTATGACAGTAGTACTCCCAAGTACTAAACCAGATGGTAGGCAATGGATGCCAGGCTGATAATTTTAGCACTGTATGTTATATACTACCATTTGACAGATTCTTGCATTAAGGAATAACAGAAACAATTTCCGAAAGTGTTTAAGAAGTATGAAAGCTTTATCACTGAAATGTTGAGTGGCAGCAGGTCAAGAGGCCATCTTTGGAGAAGATTTGTTTGCATCACTTTTCCCAGGTAATAACAGAGAAGTAGACTTTTTTTAGAAGATTTAATAATTGCTGCCCTTTTTCCCTTGAGGATTCATATTGTGCATGGTGTTCCAGGTTGAATATTTAAGAAACTCATGACTTAATACTAAAAATGAAGTCCATTATTCCTGCAGAATAGCTTAATATAAAAAGAATTATTCATTTATGAAGAAGAGTAATTTTTTTTTTTACCCTCAAAATTTAAGCCAAAAGCATTTGATGTGCTTCTTGGTGCTTCCTTTACTGTTCACCTTACTATTTTTCTTCCTTATTAAGCTTCGTAACTTCATCTTCTTTTTGGAATTTGACTTCTAGAAATCTCAGAATCTCACAAAAATTGAATTAGCAGAAGTCTGAGATTAATGATGGCTAAGCAGCTACATGAGCAAATAACTCTGTGATTAACTTGGTTGTTAACTAGACAAGCTTTCAAAAAAGGTACATTTGAAAAGACATCTGATGATTGCTACCATAGGAGGGTGAAGAGAGAGAAACTGCTTCTTCCTACCAATTGGTACTCCGTGCCATTTTTAAACTGGCATTACAGTTTCTGCTAGGAATAATGCCAGCCTAACAGATGGCCGTAAGTGCTGCTATTCAGAGGAAACCAGAGTGTGCATGAGCTTTGAGGATTTGGGTAATGTTCTTATCCAGGGGATGTCTGAACTGAAATTGCAGCCAGATTTTCTTCACAGTTGTAAGAGTGTAAAGGTATACAAATGAGAAGCTGAATTTCTTTTTTACAGTCCTGACATCAGACTACCAAAAGATCCAGTTTTAGATTCTGTCTGATCGGAATCTGCATAGATTGCTTCTCAAGGTTGATTATTTTAGGTTGTCAGCCTAATGAGACTGGCTACACACTTGTCTTGTGAGGCCCTACAATGACTCTCTGGCTTGGAGTATTCACAGGCTGAAAACTCCTCAGGAACCCACACAATTTATGCAGTGTCGTATCATTTTTTCCACCCTAGATCATAATCCAGTTAGGAAAATGGAAGGAAAGCAGATGGATTGACAATAACTCAATTTTCATCCAATAAGCAATCTGGATACAGATCGCTTAAGTTTCACTTTGAATAAAAAATATCACTTCCAAAGATAGGGGCGTTTCTTTATCTACTCTGACCAATCACAGAATAAGATGAGATCTACTGCACTCTACCTTAATACATGTCATAAAAGTAAGATTAGATTTGGATTTCTTGATTTCTTTTACTTTTAAACATCTACAGTAATAACAGTCTTAAAACATATTTTGATAACATTAAACATGTGCTCTGTCTCATTTGAGTTTATACTTTACTAGTAGAGCTTTGTTAAACAGCCTTTTGTGCAACCTCAAAAATTTTAAAAGTCAGTTCTCTAGCTACATTTTTATCTGTTTTCTGCTGGTTTGATGAACTTATTTTCCCTGAGATAACAGTGAGCCCTGAGAGAGAATTGTTGGTGTTACCTAAACATTTTATCTTTGTGTCCTAGCAGTCCCTACAGAACACATATGGGTCTTGTTATCTACCGTGCAATCTAAAAAAAAAATCTTTTTCCTACAGTACAGTTTTTTTAAACTAGATTACCTAGAAATATGTATATAGAGAAGATCAAAATTGTTATATTAGAGACAATATATAGTGCATATACATGACATGTCATAATCTCAAGAATCATTCATCACTCTCTGGAAATCAGTCATTTTTCATATGAAATAGTTCTTTCATGTACCTTATTTTAGATTAGTATTCGGTCTAATACATTAACAATACCTTTCACATATAAGGAAGAAGGAAACTAATCAAACTACTCCTATGTAGCAGATTTATACATAATCTTATTTCATAGAATCACAAGACTTGAAACAACCTGCAAGATCATCTAGTCCAACCGTCCTCCCATCACCATTGCTACCATGAGCACTAAACCGTAGTTCATAGTTCCTCATCCAGACACCTCTTGAACACTGCCAGGGATGGTGACTCCCCCACCTCCCTGTGCAGCCATTCCAGTGCCTGACCACTCTCTGAGAGAAAAAGTTGTTCCTTATGTCTAACCTAAACCTCCTCTGGTACAACTTGCGGCCATTTCCTCGGGTCCTGTTCATTGCCTGGGAGAAGAGGCCAAACCCCTCCTCATCACAACCTCCCTTCAGGAAGTTGTAGAGTGCAATGAGGTCTCCCCTGAGCCTCCTCTTCTCCAGACTGAGCAATCCCAGCTCCCTCAGCCGCTCCTCATAGGACTTGTGCTCCAGACCCCTCATCAGTTTCATTGCCCTTCTCTGGACACGTTCCAGGGCCTCAATGTCTTTTTTTGTAGTGAGGGGCCCAAAACTGAACACAGTACTCAAGGTGTGGCCTCACCAGTGCTGAGTACAGGGGATGATCACCTCCCTGCTCCTGCTGGCCACACTATTTCTAACGCAAGCCAGGATGCTGTTGGCCTTCTTGGCCACCTGGGCACACTGTTGGCTCATGTTCAGCTGAGCATCAACCAACACCCCCAGGTCCCTTTCCTCTTCACAGTCTTCCAGCCACTCATCCCCAAGCCTATAGTACTGCATGGGGTTGTTGTGGCCAACGTACAGGACCCAGCACTTGGCCTTGTTGAACCTCATCCCATTCCCCTCAGCCCAGCGACCCAGCTTATCTAGATCCCCACGCCCAGGCAGATCAACACCACCTCCCAACTTGGTGTCATCTGCAAACTTACTGAGGGTACACTGAATCCCTTCATCTAGGTCATCAATAAAGATATTAAACAAGATGGGCCCCAGTACTGACCCCTGGGAGACACCATTGTAACAGATTGTCAGCTGGACTTAACTCCATTAGCCACTACTTATTGGGCACGGCCCTCAGCCAGTTCCTTACCCAAAGAAGGGTATACCTGTCTAAGCCACGAGCAGCCAGTTTCCCCAGGAAAAAACTGTGAGAGATCATGTCAAAGGCTTTGCTGAAGTCAAAGGAAACTACATCAACAGCCTTTCCCCTGCCCACCAGTCTGGTCACCCTCTTGTAGATGGGAGTGACATTGGCAAGCTTCCAATCCTCTGGGACCTCTTCAGATAACCAGGAGCACTGGTAGATGGCTGAGTGCAGCTTGGAAATCACCCCTGCCAGCTCCCTCAGCACCCTAGGATGAAGCCCATCTGGTCCCATGGACTTGTGACAGTCCAGATGGAGGAGAATTTCTTTCTATCATGAGAAGTATGCAACTATTCCCATACAGACTTTAAAAATCTTGTGATATTATGAAGGTAACATAATATTTTCTTCTGATCACAATAACCAAACAGAAAAAAAAGAAAAAAAAAAAGCAGGAAAAAAGAGAAATCAACATATGCAAGCAAATTTAATTAATCTAGAAAAACCAGAAGTAGAGGTTAGATCAGATTATCTGGATGCCTCCAAGCAACGTTACAGAAGAAAAATAATTTGAAAGAATTTTGAAAGAAAATCATAGCCTGTATGTGGATCTAGGATATCGTAATGCATCTTTCTACTGTCTCCAGTCTGAACCTTGTTGAATGCTATAACTCTTAGAATCATAGAATCTAAGCTCTTGCAGTCCAGCCATCCACCTATCACCAATATTTCCCACTAAACCATGTCTCTTAGTACAACATCTAAATGCTTCTTTAACACCTCCAGAAACAATGACTCAACCAGCTATCTGGACAGCCCATTCCAGTGCCAGACCACTGTTTTGAAGAGCAAGTTTTTCCTAACATCCAACCAGAATCTCTGGTGCAACCCGAGGCCATTCTTATACTAGAAGTTATTGCTCCTGGTGCTATTGTTGCCTGAAGTTCTCATTTAACTGTGCATTAAGCTATTTCAAGGAAAATGACTTCAAATGATCTATTTATTTATTTTTGACTGTAACGATCTGCTTAAGCAGAGTATTTGATCAAAATAAGAAATTCTGTTTGTAACTAGCATTCTACTCATTCCAAATTGTCTCATACCTCAAAATTTGTATGAGGTGTAATCAGTAGACAAACTACTTTACCTAGACTACTGTTCTGCATATGTTGATACAGCTATTTATACCTTGTACTTACTACTTGCTCATCTATGTATAGATAATCAGCTTGGACTGATGACTTTGTGTTATTTCTTATGTCTTCACAAGTTTTTGTTTGTTTTCAAAACATACAGATGAAGTTCTACAGGTTACATTATTTCTGGAAATTTTTACCACCATCAAGATATAGAATATTAATTATAATATTTGATGCTAGAATATGAACGATTTGCATTTCCTCTCTCTCCAAAACTGAGTCACAATAATTGAACTCCTTACTTTCAGCATCAGAGTTTCAAAGTAAAACTAAGTCAATTCAGCATGGCTGATTTACCGTTTTTGCTCTTGCTGCTTTCAAAGCTGCTAGCTGCTACAGTGAGGGAAAGCACCACAGCAAACAGGTTGATGAGAAAGGTCTTTTGCCACTAAAAAGATACGACACCTTTGAGAAAACACTTGCCTGCAACTCTGACAAAGATGTGTTGATTCTTCTTATAACAGGAAAAAATTGAAACTAACCATACCAGAAATTTTAAGCCTAAGTTTTAACTAGTGTTCGGGAAAAAAAAACAGAAATTTATATAAAAACTTATATAAGAGCACAGTTTTGTCTGTGGAGCATTCAAAAAATAAACACAGAAGAACATTGTGTTTTACTCTGCTTTCTGATGATAAATCTCAGGTAGCATCTACAATGAAGGAAGAAAATTAATTAGAAATTAATCTTAACATATTGCTTCACAGAAATTAATGGATTTTTTTCACCAAATTATCAAAACAATGTCTCCTTATTATAAGAGACTACGTTTAAATCAAGATTTTAAGAACACAGTTATTAATGTGAAATTATTAATGCAAATACCACAATTTTTAGCAGGTAATGCCTGCAGCCATACAATTGATATTCAATTTACATATTTTCATTCATTTTGTATTTTATTAGCCATAATTTCCAATTTTCTATCAAATGTATCATAACATACATTTAAAATACAAAAGGAATCTTTTTCTTTCCTAATTCACTAGTGATACACAATGGAAATAGTCCAATAAGTACATATGCTGCTTTCAGATGAAACCTCTGGAATGTAAAGCCAATTACTGGCTAATGCTGTTATATTTTATTCACATCATTATATTACTATTATTTGGAAGTACAGAATATATCAGCACACAGTAACTGCTGTGCTTGTCTTACCATAACATTCCTAAGAAAGTAGAAGCACTGCCTTAGCCAAGGATATTAACATAATTAACTCTGCAGTGAAGAGGATAGTGTGGTCCTTCATTTCAATTTGCAACAAAGTTTTCATCTTTTTTTTCCCCCCCACTTGAAATTTTAGAAGGAATTTCAGGCTTCTAGAGTTTTTTTGTTTGTTTGTTTGTTTGTTTTTTTGTATCAGTTCTGTATTGAAAGAGAAGCATTCTTCTTTATGTCTAGTTTTAGTTTAGCATCAAAAAATGATAGTTTTGTCAGGAGAACTGATCCACAGTATGTTCAGCCTACAACACACTCATTTTCTCTTCTAGAGAGGGAGGCAAAACAAAATTGAACTCTCACCTGTGCCGTGTGACCACGCTATTTAGTCAAATTGAAAATAATGTTGTTTCATATCAAAACCAGGTCTTCTGTTTCTCCAACTCTATGCTTTATTCACTACCTAGAAGAGAAGCAGGTAGTTTTTCTTTCGGTTAATACTGTCCAGTGCCAAACACCCCCTTGCAGTAATCACAGATTGCAGCCAATAAATTAAGGTTACTATTTCTGATATATTAATTCACGTAACCACGTAATACTTTTTAATCTGCTTTTCATTTTATGATTTCAGTCATACCTCTAAAAAGTATAAAGTGTCATACAAGATACATTCCATGAATGCAGAGCTTGCTTTGTTGGTACGTTTTTCCTTATGTTAACAGTTCTCTAAACACAAAACAAAGGAAAAACAGAAACAATATTTTAAAACTAGTTGAAGATGTCACAACCATTTTAAATGTATTAGTCATTCATGAGCTACATGGTGATCATATCGCATTACTGCCTACACATGAACTATAGCATATAAGCATAAAGACAGAAAAGATTTTCTAAGAGTAGACAGAAGAGCCTACATAGCCATGTTATCTCGTTAAAAGATATTTAGAACAAAAGTGAACACACTATGGAAATCACAGATTCCAAGTGCTGTTTCAGACTTCCATTACTTTTTTTACTGCATGTATAATCAATGAATATACAGATGTTATAATTATGAAATACAAGAGAGTTTGGCTAAGCAGATTATTATACCAAGGAAAGAATAGATAGAGTGCTTACCCTTATCCTGGACTCACCGTAAAACTCCAAAGGAAAGATTTCCAGAAAGAGACCATTCCCTACTGGTAGTCAGCTCTTAAATGGGTCTAGGAGAGGTGCAGCCAGGCTCCACTCCTTCCAGCAGCACAGGTGAATTGCTTTCACTTGTGCTCCCAGGGCTGACTCATTGCTCAACTCAGGTGATCAGTCAGAGGTTCAGGCTGTGATTCAGCAGTTCCCATACAACTGCATCAACAACACTTGCCTGTTTATTCAAACTTTGGTGAGTATAAGTGATTTACCCTTATTCTGACGTGTGTGGAACAACGAATATTTATTCAAATTGGTCTGAAGCACAGCCTACATTGCAGGCTCAATTCTATGTTGGTGTAAGGTAGAGAAGAGAGTCATTTAGCAGCTTCTGTTTCCCATACCTGACTCATTCTGCACTGAAGTACACAAATTTGTAATTGCTCAGAAGAGCACAAAATAAGATGGTCCTTTAAGTGTATATTACTCCACCGTTATGCATAACAATTGCTCTGTTGTACCAGCTTAAAGACAAAAAAAAAAAAGACAAAAAACTCTCAAGCTCACAAACCTTGCTCAAAAGCTATGTTAACGTTTGTGTTGCCATGGCTTATAAACCTTGTGCCTCCAAAACGTTCCCTGAAGAAATGAGGAACTGGCATAAAAAGTAAGAACAGCAGCAAATAGCTTCTATTTCCCTCTCTCATTGTTTTTGGAACACTACAGATACTACTGCAGTCTTCTACACGTTATTGACATGATAAACGTTCTGTGTGAGACGTACTGTGTGTGATCTCATTTTTCCATACCAAAATCAGCTTAGGAAACTACATCAAGTCGCCTCCTACTAACAATTAAGGAATGTTGACAAACCGAAGAAAACATTAGTAGTTGAATTGAGATTATTTTCAAATGATATACTTTTCCACAGTTATCTAACACGACTTGGTTGAAAGCAGACCATTTCAAAGGAATATGAATTTTTATCTAAAGTAACTAGGAAAAAATTTTATGATCAAGATGACATTTTAGACAACATAAAAGGCTGTAATAAAAGAGACTTATAAATCCCATTAAATGCACTCAGTTCCAGGCAGTCAAATATTCTGGTCTTTGTCTTTTAAATGAAAAGGGGGGGGCATGTTCTATTAATTTTTCTTTCCTACCAAGAGTTATGTTCATTACTTTTTGTACTTAATTTTGAATGTAAAATTTTCCTCGCCTTCCAACATGAAACTTCCTCAGTTTTTCTTCCTTACAATAAAAAAAAGCAATTCAATCAAGACCTTTACTGACGCTGCCAATAAGCATTTCTTCTTTCTTCTGTCACTGATAACATTCATCACATTTCCAGACATCAGTTCACTGAGAAACAGAGGGGCATTCAAAACGTGCTTCAATGTAATCACGGTCAACCTGGTCTAGCCAGACACTGCACTCACAGAGGAGTGAGACCAGAATATTCCAGAAGGTCCCTTCCAACCTCAGCTATTCTATGTTTCTGTAAAAAGTGTGGCAGAATTCTGCAGTATGTGCAGAATGTATCGTTTAGTTTACTAAGCTCTGTCATAACAAGTTGTGTGCCCTGAGGGACATTTTTAGGAAAAAATAAAATTCACAGCAATTAAACATTCCATATCCCATTATATTCCCTCTCCATTACAATAAAATCACAGATTTTTTCCCAGCTTAAGACTGTGCATGGTAAAAATAGTGCAGCTTAAGCTAAAAGACAGACTCCTTTTCCTTTTACAATGCTTACCAACTCTCAAAGGACTGAGAAGAAATTCTTGCAGTGTCAGAAGTTTGCAGTTCACTTTTTTCCAACTAATTGACATTATGTCACATGAACCCAACATGCAGTGGAATAATTAAAAAGAGAAAATGAAAATTAGTTGGCTCCTATTTAAAGTTCCCAGTGGGAAAGACAGAGACAAGTCTGTACAACATAGTACCTTGTTAAGAAAGGTCAAGCCTTTGGGCTGCATTCAGAGTGAGGCACAGAATGTCATCAACCTCAAAGGCACATGGCCTTTACTTCTGTAAATTTAAATGTTTGGATTATGTTTCAGTGGCTTCAAACAATAGGAAGCCTCAATGAAGTTAAACTTTTCATTGTCATAAACGAGGATAATTGTGACTTGAAAACAGGCATCGTAATTTTTGCCCTCCCCTGACTGAAATGAGATGAATTGAGAACTAAAATCAAACAGAAATAAAGGTAATCTATCTTTCTTGCTAGAGGAAGTATAGAAACAATACTGAGAAATCACTCCTAATATTCATCTTACCACCTTTTCTAAATGTCGCAATGCATATGGTATCTAAAAGCAGATTTGATTTATTGATTAGGAATTTAAGGTCAGGCTGTCTCATGGGTTTGTGCAGAAACGGAGCGTCTGAGAAATACTGTTAAACAGGAAAATTATTTATCATGGAAGAAGGCTGTCTTTTTTACTATAATCTAAAAGAAAAAAAATGTATCTTTAAATAAGCCTGTGAAAATGACTGAACAGCACATGCCTAGGTCCAGAAAGATTCTTTTGAAACTTAGTCTTAGATCTTTTAAGCATGTTATTTTATACTATCTGTATGTAGATTAGTCACAGACAGGAATGGTCAAGTTTTTAAGGGATTAGTAAGGCATGTAAAAACCAACTGTATAAAATATTTTGCATAGATATACAAATTTGGATGACGTTTTGTTTCAAATAATTTTAAAGAGTAGCTTTAATGTGTCTCCCTTTTTCATATATGTGGAAAATCCAAATGCATAGAAAGCTCTTAGCATGTAAACATGACTTTTCAAAAATGGATGTTTACATTTCTTCTTATCATATAACGTGATTAAAAGCGTAAAACAAGTATTCTCAAAGCAAGTCAGATTTTAAAATTTCTCAAAGCAATGGTTAAACCTATACAATGAAATTTGTAGGACATTTAAAGCTCTTGTCAATTTTATTGCAAGTATTTCATAGCACTGGATTTATCAGCCTTTTTGAAACAGCTCCTCAGAGTATAAGCTTCTCAATGTTTAACCTTCAGTATCCACTTCTATCTTTGGGCCCAAACTCATCTCATTGTTTAGAGGCCAAGAAAGAAATGAGATCAGATTGTATAAGATTTTTTTCCTCTCAAGTCGTGAAAACTATGAATTAATTATCATTGCAGCTATGTAGCATGTGACTTTGATGCTGTTGTAACAAAGTGTAATAATACAATAGGAAAATGTTAGAATGTTTCTTTCCCAATAAGACAAAGCCTAGCTGACTCCTAGTGTGTGATGGTCATACACAAAATAATGTAGTTGGTACTGAGTTGACTAGATTCAGGAGCCATGTGCAAACCACATATATAAACAGTTATAAACTTGGAGATAACTTCACTCAATATTAGGATGACTTCAGATAGGAGTCTGCATAAGTAATAGGAGTCTAATAACTTTTGCCATAGAGGGACAGAACACTAGTAAACATTAGTGCCACTCTTAAATCTCACACAAGGTTTATTTCCTCACATTTCTTACCAGGTCCCAGCTGAGATTCCAGACCTCACCTTTATCTGAGCAGAAGAAAATTATGCTAAATGTGTTGAGAAAAAGTACAGATTTTAAGTGATAGATAGAAATGTTTTGTTTCCTCTCAGGGTGATGAATCGAGAAGTTTACTCCAGGCACGACAGAGAAGGCATTGATCTACACTGCAAGTAGATACAGGACATTCAAGGCAGAACAGTTCTTATTTCACTGACTCCCTAATACTGTGCAGCACAAGGCCATGTCAGTCCACTACAGTACCCTCAATAAACCATTGCTTCAATGGAAGGAAGTACATGCAGCATTGCAGAGAGAGGAACACATTACTTCCTCCAGCTTTTCTTTAAGGTGTTCTGCTCAACACATACAATTCCCAGAGAAGATCTGTGTTGGGAAAATCTCACTATTGTCTCATGCTAACTCCTTCAGTAATCAGCAGACACTATGCAGCCAGTGGATCTTAAAATGCTCTACTTTGACAAAAGGAGATGCAAAGATTTTTGCTTAAGTAAACCTGAAACCTAGCTACAGCACTAGTTACGTGAGAGTATCAGCATAAATCAACGCTTGCTAATTGACAAGTCTCTCAAGTAGATTTGCCCATCTGTGCTGAACAGCTATACTGCCACTCACTCTCTCTCAGTATTTGATGCAGGTATCGGGATTTAGAGAAGTAGGGGTGAGGAAAGACGAGATATAGAAAAAGCTGGACGTTGCCTTAGTTTAGACTGTTTTACTGCAATTCATCTCCCCCAAGGAACAAGAAAGAGGATACAGTTAAGAGGATGAACTTGC